CCTTAGATCGAAGGTGTATTGGGTGATCAACCAAACCCTAGGTTTACCCCCCCCTTACCCCTCCCCTCCGCTTTCCACCCCCCTGTGCATGGTCAATATTCAGCAATACCAACCCACAGGTCTCCGCCCTATACCGGCTCCAAATAATGGCCTAAGGGTGGTTCTCTGTGGACCTGCTATTGCCGCAGTTCGCGCTCCACTGTAACAACTGCAACCTACTATCCTCGGCACTGACCCATGGGTCACCGTGCACACCCGCCGACTGCACCGACCGCGACAGGTCTTCACGTACCTGTCGTCGAACGGTACTCCCAGCCGTCTGCGTCCACCAACAGCGTCGTCGCCGCCGCCGCCGCCGGCCCGCCGCCGTGCGGCTGGCCCCCCCGCATATCCACGGTCCACTCCCCAGCCCACTGCCAACCCCCACCACGCGGCAACTCCACCTCCTCACGACCACGCCAGGCGCTGCTGCTGCTGCCGCCGCCGCCGCCGTCGCCACCGGCGCGACCGCCGCCCGCCCCGCCGACGGCACACCCCAGCAGCGCCATGTCGTCGTCTGAGGAGGCCCCCTGCCAGTTGCCCCAAGGCTCTCGAACCTGGCGATGCAGTCGAACGAGCCATCAATTCCACCATCACAAAGACGATGACGGTGGGTGCAATTAAGGTTGGTATTCTTTTAGAGGAAAGAGGAGCCGGCAGCCGTAGTGGACAGCAGCCGACAAGGAACACCGCAGCACACAGGCAAGAGGAAAGAGGAACGGGGAAGTGTCTAGGTAAATACATACACACGCACGCACGCACCAGTCCTTGCCCGGGACTGTACCCCACAACGCCTCTTCATACCCCGTCTCCCTCCACACGGAGCCCAACTACCCACCCGTACTGCCGTACCTGATATTCGTACACTTCCTCCGTAACCACCTCCTCGATTACCGCCGACCCCGGGGGGCCTGTCGACATGCAAATGCCGTGATCCGTACCTCCGCTGCCGCCGCCACCGCCGCCGGCAGCGGCGGCGATGCCGAGGCCGCTGCCGCCGCCACCAACGGCGGCGTCTTGCCTACCGTTTCCGGACGGCGCCGTCGCCGTGGCACATGCACTTGGTACGAACGGCGACGACGACAGCGGACCGCTGCTTATCGTACCCAGCCCGGGGATTCTGCCGCCGCCGCTGTCGCCAGCGTCGTCGTCGTCAGCGTCCATGTCACCATGCAACAGAAATGCGTCGTCGCCGCTGTCGCTGTCGCTGCAGCTGTCCAACATTCCGACACCGCCGCCGCCATCACCGTTGCCTCCCTGCACATCCATACGACGTGTTTGAAACCGATCTGAGCTCCCACGCGGGCAGATGCCCTATGCGTCTGTCTGTCTGTCTGTATGTATGTGCGGCTGTGTTGGGCCAAAGCATCAGCCAACGCCACCTACTCCAGGAGACACCCGCCATCAGCCACATCAACTCTTGCAATCGCCTGTCTAGCAGCAGCTCGCACATTAGTTTGATAGTAGACAGGCTTATCCCGCACAAATCGAAGGAAAGTGAAACGTTACTTACCACGTCAACCACTACTGGGCAGAACTCCAGAAGAGTACGGAAGAAATAATAGAATTAGAACAATCGCCGCAGCGCCGTAAACCGTCCACTGTGCCGTACCTTGAAACGCCGTACCATGCTGCCGTTATCCGCCAGCAGCGCTCCTACCTCGTCCAGGAGGCTCCACAGCCCCGCCGTACCGCTGCCAACCCCGCCGGCAGCGGCGCCGCTGACCAGCATTCCGCCGCTGCCAGAGTTGCCCGACGGCGGCGGCGGCGCAGCCGCCGCCGACACAACCGCCGCCGCTACTGCTGACACAGCGGTACCAGTCGCCCCATCCTGCTGCTGGCGGGACGTCGCCGGCGGCTGCAGCGGCTGCGCCGTCATTCCGTCCGCAAGACCCGTACTACCCGCCGGCGCCGCAGTGGCGGCGGCGGCCTTCTCAGCAGCTGACGAAGGCGTCACCGCAGCCGCCGCTGCCAGGATCTCCCGCCGTAGCCGCGGGAAGGCGGCGGCGGTGGCGGCCACTCGGGCATCCGCGTCCAACGGCAGCAGTGAAGCGAAGAACGGGTGTAGTACGGACGAAAAGTACGGCGGAAAGAGCGGCTCGGGCCAGTCGGAGAGGTACTTGGCGGCGGGCCAGCGGGCAGCTGCGGTTTTGAAGTGCGGAGGAACGCGGAATGATGTATAAAAATCCTCAACTTGACACACATACACACACAAATATGCACATACATACACACACACCAACAAACATACACTGACATTTACATATAGACAGATGTACACACCTGCAAACAAATAAGTACATGCATACAAACACATACAAACAGACAGGCGTACATACCTGCACACAGACGTGCACATGTGCTCGCGGTCAAATTTGAAAACAACGAACCACGAGAAGTAGAAGCTCAAAAACGTGATCATACCTGGATCCAATTGGATCATGTGCAGTACAAGTCGCCGTATATCAGGATCCACTGCCGCCAGCGCGCCGCCTGACGCCAGGTCAGCGGCGGCGTCACCACGTCTGTACGACAGCAGTGCCGACAGGTCGAAAAGTGCCTTGCCGTCGCAGAACACCTCCGCTATAACGCAACCCAGCGAGAAAATGTCCTACGGGCGAGGGTGAGGTCTATATGTATGTATGTGCATGTATGTACATCCGGAGACATGGGAATGGGTCGCACTTTGGCCGCCGGTCTCCAACATTTCGTATGTCTATGCTCAGAGCTATGGACGATCAGCGGAACACATGATGTCTAAGTTTGAGTTATGGGCAAAACCAGCGGACCTTTAGGCCTTGGAAGGGCCCGCAGTAAAATGACGAAGCGGCGCATCTTCCCAATGAAAGATAAGCGCGTTGGGATGGAGCTCTCCAGTCGTGATGCC